TATCAAAATATTGACAGTTGCGAAGATGCAAACAGTTTGAACGGCTATATTTCTTCTTATCTTTTTCTGTGGGGTGGTATTTGAGTACGTGAATTCCAGAACATATCGGTTTTTCTTACACTGACTTGTGTCATCATGGTTAAAGGACTTGCATGTGAAACATCTCAGGACGCTAACAGCATCAAACAGTGTGCAACAATTACGGCCGACGAGTAGATGATCCATGTCTAGAAGTTTCTTGTAGGGTAGAGTATCTATAGATTTGAAGGTAGACCAAATTTTTACAACTTCGCAAATCGAATCCTTGCCAAACAAATGCGGGTTTTGAGTTAAGGCATAAGTTGCAATATCGTTTTTGTCCAAACCTTCAGGAATGCCGACAAAGCGCCACCAGACAGAATGAGAACATTTTTTTAATGCTTTATGTATGTATTGGGAAGTTTATTATTGCGATATCAAAATATGTTAGGTTAATTATTATTAATTAATTTTGTTTTCTTTTTTTCAGAGTTTTTTGCTATGAAATTTGTTGTGTGTGGGACGAATTTTTTGGTTTAATAATAACACTGCATTCGAAAGCATTTTTTTACTTATGGGCATAACTAGGCTTTTCGCTATTAGAATTCAGAGTTGTATTAATAGAGCGTTGCAGAGACTCTAAGTGTTTTCGAATAAGATTGAGTTCATGCAACAAAATAGAATATATTTCAAAAAAGGATTTTCCGCATTTAAAGGAGATGCCTCGGATGGAGACAACGGAGTAGTGTTAAAAAGCTCTTATGATTCTGACATAATAATGTTCTACTCGTGAGACATCGTAACTTTTCATACCTACATGTTTTGCGATTCATACGGTTTTGAAGATAAAACCTAGCTTTGTCAACATCATCTAAGCGTTGTACGCACTCCTAGAATGCGATTATAACACGAAATTTTTTCGAAAAGAAAAGACCTTTCAAGTTAGAATTATTGAAGGGGATCAAGAAGAATTCGAATACATTTTCAACCCGAGAAAAGTTTGTTTGTCGATTGGCACACTTAGATGACGTTGACAAAACCATGTTTTATCTGCTTTCAAAAATGTATGAGTCACAAAACTTGCGTGAAAAGTTCAACAAAAAAAGCGATGATGGCTCAGATTTACCACATGCACGAATAAACTTACGTCAGTATCTATTTCGATCTTACTGCATTGCTAACTATTAATCGACGGTACTGCTAGATGTAGCTAAATATTATCTCCTTTGCCGGTATTGAGTTTTATTACTTTACAGAGATTGAAAGAGATGAAGGAATAGGTCCTGAGAAGGTCAAAGAAGATAACAATTCTGAAGATGACAACAATAATAGTAGAGGCACAACGAGGAATAAACTGCAAAATGTTCAGGTGGCATCATTAAATCGCCAACAATCAATCACATCTTCATTGAAAACTTTAAAATGTCACACAATTAAAACAGGAAGTACCACTTCGTATTGTGATAAAACTTGTCTGCCATTGTTCATTACGTGATTTTTCACAATTTTTACCTTCAGAGTACCTACAAAATGTAATTTTTTAATTAATTACGGTGTTCATTGGTTTCGACAAATTTAACTTCAATTTTTGGATTTCATTATTTGAAAAATTATTGTTTCTTTGCAAAAAAGATCAGATGATTTATTCTGTTCAACTATAATCGACTTTCCAAGGTGTAATTTATGACAAAGCCGTTAAACGCTTTTCTGATTATTTACAATTTTTGAAGGTCAAATGTATTGCAGTAGCGTTCACAGATGCTAGATAACACTGCAACCCTTAATGCTCTTGGGCATTTTCATGTCTATTTAAAATGAAATTAAACCTCAAACCTGGTATTTATTTTTTGACACATTTGACAGATTTGTTTTTATGTCCGTGACATTTCAAGAGTTCAAATCACCTTGGTGATTAGCGGCACACGCAAAATTTCAGTTGTTTTTCATAGGTAAGTCGACTACAGTTTTTATGATGATCCTGTATAAAATACTATTAAAATTGGAAAATTTTTATTTCACTCACTGGCGTTAATCCATTGAATGCATGTGACGTACTGTTGACCTGCGATGGTTAACTCAGTCTGCCAGTAGTTAAACTACCGAATATTAATGTGTTAAATTATTTATACGTTTCAAATGAGATAAGAAATAACATTTAAAAAAATGGGCCGTGATAACATGACGTTACTTAAGTATCTGTAGCCAAAAGAAAAGTTTACAAACTAACGAATCGTCCAAGCGCAATAAGGGCATATTTAAGTTAATTTTGCTAACTGAACAATAAGACTAGTTTTATTAAATATTTTTGGGATTTCTCTGTACTAGCGACCTCTCACGCCAGCCCGACAGTCGTTTTTGTCAAAAGATGTTTGAAACGGGGGAATACGCTCAGATGTTTCCTTCATAAGATCACGTGCTTTCGAATGTTGCTAGCTGTCCCTCAGGATCGAAAAAATTCAGAGGAAAATGGTAAACTTTATTTTATTTAAATTGAACATTGACAAAAACAAGTATATGTATTGAGCGAAACTACACGTAATTGGCTTTCAGTCACTTGAAACTCGTCAATGCCAAGCTATAACTTTTGGTTACAAAGTTTTACACAGTAAAATCGGATACCCCAAAACTCTTAATATGTTTACCCAAAGAGTTCCTTCCTACAATACCCGAATATATGAAATTCTAGGCATTGGTTTTCATCGTATTCTCTGTGCACCTGTAATTCGCTATAATTATGCCCACGGTGCTCGGTGTAACACTATTTCAAATGATTTAGACCTGTTTCACTGTAGTTATAAAATCCGTAAATCCAGTATTATTATTATTATTAATTTTTTTTTTCTTGTATGTTTAGGACTCACCTTGGAATGACCGACATTCAGACAAGACTTATATCATTACGGGTACTAACACCAAATAATGATATGCATTAATTAGATTTAATAAAAAACTTTGAGATCCTAGAATTAGGTGCAGCATACAAATTCGTCTGCCATTATTTTCTAATCTCATCCCATCCCCATGAGCCTAGCGTAACTAACAATCATTTACCCTCGCATCACTTGAAAAGTGAGCTACACTAGTCCATTGATTAAATACATATGTATTTAATCAATGACTAGTCTAACCGGCTGGTGCTGACTGCCATGATCAGATTGTTCGAGAAACTTACATACAATGTGACATGTAAAAAAAAAAGGTAAAGTACGGCAAATGATAAATGCAAATGACTCCAATTATTATGAGTATTGCCGCTGTAAAATCTCCAGTCGCTTTCAAAGCTATACCCTGTGTAAAGCTGTTAATCAAAATTAATGCACCTTTCCAGGACCGTATTTTTTCTCTAGTAAATGCATTCCTAATGCCTAATGGTTTTATTGTAGGTTGCGTTCTAAAGTAGGTACTAAATATATAAAGTATATATAAAATAATTGACGGCGTTTGCATTTATCTTTGGTCGTACAACAGTATTGAAATTTTCTGAACATTTATCATTGCCTTCATTTCTATTGATAATTGTAGATATATATTTTGAAATTTTAGAGTGGTATATGTTTGTATTGACCCTTATCCTGTAAGCAAAGTGAGTAGACATTATATAAATTCCAATGATACAGAGTGTGACAACATCGCGCAGGCGAAGTCAGATTTCTGCAGCGCCAAGTTAAAATTAACCAATTAGCGACACATTACGCATGTGTTTCCGGCTGCATTCTGTCAAAGCGGTTTGTTGTCACAGGCCTTTGCTCTGCTGCCGGAGTGCCGGATACAATTTTCAGCGTGGTTTTGAAGATGCGTGCGCACGGAAAGTCACTATGGAAGTTTTACGATATTACAGGAAAAGGATCAATTATGTTAAGAGTGTTAGGGACAGCAATATCAATGAGAATGGCGTCGTTGGTGTACTTCTTTATAAGAAAAAAATTTGACCTGTTGGGTGTAAAGTTTCGGTCTGTAGATATTGTGCGATCCCAATATACTTTGTATTCGGTATTTTCAAGGAATGAAAATGGAGTATAAGTGTAATAGTGTGCCACATCTTGGATTAAGTTTAGTTTGTTGATAAGTCTTTGTGAATGATATTGGTCAGTTTGTACCAAGATGCTACAAGATGACGTTTGTGCCGAATCGTTTCGGGTTTTTCTTTACAAAGTCGACAACAATCATTTCTTATATTTGGTTTTTTGATTACATATTTTCTGTAATTTTTGGTATTAATTACTTGGCCTTGAATATCAAAGAAAAACTCTTGTGCTGCGGCATATAAACTTGAATTTTTTTAAGCCAAATCAATGACATTTTCTTTTCTTATGTGAGTTTCGTCTGGCTCTTTGAAAAATTTTCATTGCAGTTATTTTTATTTCAGCCCACTTATTATGTTGTCTAAAAAAGTTTGTGGGGTGTGGACGTGTTCGGTACTGTGTAGATTTAAGGATGTGTGGTTTTAGTCTGCTCTTGCTATGACGCCAACTAGATCGTTTCTTTCTGCGCGTCTAAGGAAATGTTCCTTCAATTCTGCAACTTGCTTCTTCTACAAATTTTTCCCGTTCTTCCTCGGTAGTAAAAATCTCTCAACTGATGATTTCGGACAACGCCTTCTACATTGTGTGAATATTTTTCTTGTGAAATGTTTAAATTTTTGAGTATGTACTAATAGTAACTATTTACTATTAGTATTTAATTATTCCAAAGGAATATGTTAGCAGTGGAACACGGAGTCTATTAACTGCTTTCACTAAATTCATTTTGTTTAACTGTGTCTTGGTGGATTTTAATCTTACCTCTGGTAAGCTGAGCTTCGTTTTAGTTTTGGTATGATCAATATGAGGGGACTGATGGAAGCCCAGCTATATGTATATTTATATATTTTTATTATTAATATTATTATGTTTAAAATTTGTCAGATGTCATTAGAAGGAAAAACGCGTTCTACCTCATTCTTCGATTCCAAGTAGTAGTTAAAATTTTATTTTTTGTTTCAGGAAATCGACAAATTACAGCCCCCCGATGCATTTGTTATTCTTTATTCTGTCGTTGACAAAGCCAGTTTTTTAAAAGTGGAGAATGAATTAACAAGGCTTCAAGACGATGACCTCTTAAGGTCCCGGCCTGCTATCATCGTCGCTAACAAAATTGATCTTGCAAGAAGTAGAGCTGTCTCTGCTCAGGGTAAGAATTTATTTTATTTTGTTAGTTATATTATTAAATAAAACAAAATACTTTTCCACAAATAGAGGTGTCCTAGATAAAACTCTACGGCCTTATATCATAATAACTGATAGATTCATTAAAATTCTATAGACGCCATTGTTTTTAACTTGAAGGGGAAGACTAATTGACTACACTCCAAACGTGACATATTCAAGGTTAGCAGCACTAAGCGCGTGGTTCGCGATTTTTCGTTAATTACCAGTGATGGGATCCGCCGTACATAAATTAGTCAGCAATATTGAGCGTTTACATGCAAAATAATTCTTTCTTTTAGGTGTCAAAAAGTATTTATATATAGAAAAGGACCATTTTAAATCGCAGTTGGTTACCGGGACATAATTAAAATATGGCGTCAAGGTACCTACCGTATTTAGTGTTGTTACTAGAGATCATTCTTTCACAAAATTCGTATACTATCCTCAAAGATATTTGGCGTTTATGACTTCACACCAATTTGACTCCCATTATAATTCAATAGGCCGTCACAACCGGATGTCTTAAACCCGCTCACCGATACCTACCTGAAAAGACCTTTTCGACGTGCCAGGGACGGTCGAGACGCGAAGGACCGGACTCAGAGTAATTTTGTTTGTTAAAATTTTCAAATTTCAAAATTTCCTTACGGAACATGATTTATACTTTGAAGAAAATTACACAAAGACACAATTATTAGAAGTGTTACACACTCGAAAATTTGAGAAACAATATAAAATAGATGCTATGGCGCGAGATCGTGGATTTAGGGTGATTAGTAGACAGCGGATTTCTGTCGGGCTACGTCACGATTATAGGTGGGGACGCGCTGGATCGCCGGGACTCAGTAGCGGGTGATAGATAATCACTGAATTTGAATATCACTTATTCCATAAGTACAATTAACGATTTATTAATCAAACGGCTAAGTAAATGAGAACTGGAATTAACAGCAGAGTGCAACGAAGCAGCGGTATTCTAATCTCAAATAAACGAAGTGCAGCCCGTAACTGCAATGAATTCCCATCCCATACGAGCCGTACCGAGTTTGGCCTTTTCTAGCCCGACCGAAATCCGCTCTCTACATCACACTTCCGCCGTACCATTGTATATTTAACCCCATCGAACTAATCTGGTCGCAAATGAAAAATAATATAAGAAGGAATAATACGGCACCAAAATTTAGTAGTGCAACAATTGACATAATTAGGGAAGAAGCTTCCAAAATAACTGCCGAAATGTGGGCCAATTGTGTACGACATTCCACAAAAGAAGAAGACCAGTACAGGGCACGGTTGATAACACCGTTAATTATTAATTTAGAAGAGTCGAGTGATGATGACAGTGACTATTTCGATCAATAAATAAGCAGTAGTAGTTAATAAGTAAATAGTTGTGCTGTAATAAAAAATGATTGAGTACAAAGTTACTTTGTTTTTACTTAAAATAAAAAACTCGAAAGGCGCAGTTGTCGGTAAATGCAAAACTCAGTCCTGCCCTGTGCTTTTACCAGAAAAGGTCTTTTCAGGTAGGTATCGGTGAGCGGGTTTAAGACATCCGGTTGTGACGGCCTATTGAATTTTAATGGGAGTCAAATTGGTGTGAAGTCATAAACGCCAAATATCTTTGAGGATAGTATACAAAACGTTTAATTCAGCGTTTCTACTCAAAACAGAGCCGACCTTGGTTGCTACCCTGTCTGTAAAGATTATCGAGATGTGAGGATTAAGGAATTCTCAAAAATTAGTGATCTGACATGTAAAGTACAAAATCTGCCTTTGTTGCTAAACAAATTTCAAATTTCCCTGGCATATTTTGTAATCGATTAACCGTAATTTTTATTTTTCCTTAAGCTTCGTATAACTTAAGGATTTCACTTTCTAGTAAACAATTATATTTCATAAATGTTCACAATTTGTATGGATAAAATTTAAATCATTTTATATGTCAGGTCTTACAACAATTTGCTTACACTCTGTACTGTTGGGATCATCATCATTTAATAAAAATACAAAGTGTTTTAAATTGTTAAAATATTTCAAATAAAAGTCACACTTTTAGCCATGTGCCTAGTCGTATTATCACGAAAAGAGGTAGGTATTCCGGAAAAAGTTTGTATATACCGGGTGTTTCACGTAAGACTTCCAGTACTTATATCTCATCTATTTTTCGGCCGTTTGTTTTCAAATTTTATATTTACGTCGTGAACACCGTACAACATAGCAGAGATAGTTGGAATTCTACAAAGCACAAAATACTTATGTAATCACCACTAAAATGATTCAAGACATCAATGCTACACTCATAGCAACTGTGGCTAAATAAGCATCGAGCTTACTTTTTCAACCAAAACAAAAATTATTTTATTTAGTGATGTCCTTATGCTGCAGGATTCATGATAAAGGTTGGTAAACAGTCACAGGACTTCTACCTTAATGTGTTTCATGTCACATGTGTTGCACATGCACTGCATGGTATTAGACAATTAGCGAAATTCTGTTCAACGTTCACAATCGCCAATAGGGACACTGCATTTTCTGTTTACATAGATTTAACAGTTTTTTTTACGTTTTGCGTGCTGTAGGTACGTTCTACGGAACGTGGTTGCGCTAATTGTCTATTGCTGAATTTGCTCGAGACTATTTTATAGACGTCAACGACCTGATTTCTGTTAAAACAAATGTCGAAAAGCTGCTTTACCAGTTTCCCTATACCGGGTGTTTCTCTAAGACTTTCAATGCTTATATCTCATTTATTTTTTGTCACATTTTCCCATTTGTCATAAAATTTGAGTGAATCGTACCCTTGACAGTAGTGGGAAAACTCGTATGTGACTTTTTGCACTCTGTGTACTCGTGGCGTATGTGAGTTTTGCCACATGAGACAAAACTCCTTGCTAAATCAGTGAGTTTTCACGGTCGGAAAACGGAATGTTATTTTTATGTTTATGTATTTTAAAACAGTTAATATTTTGTGCAAGGTAACTTTTGAAATAAATATTTGGAATTTTTCATCACTTACTCAAATTTTTATGTATCTGCAACTTAATTTTGCTCTGTAATTGGATAATGTTTTCTGTTTAGCAATAAATTTATTTATCATTATTTTGCAAAGAAAACATTCAAAAATCATCCTTTGCAGAATCTGAAAAACTAGAACAGAGTAATTTTTTGTTTACCTATCTGTTAGATGTTTTTACAAGTCGAAAAATGTTTCTTGTCCAAATAATGGATATATTTTTGTTTTTGGTGCTAGTTCTGCTGGATTAGGAGGGCTGAACAAAATCAGCACACACTTAGCCTCCTATTAGTTTTTACGTATTGTTTTAGTGTTTTATTCTGAACCATGGACGATCTAGTTATGTTAGACATTCTTCAAGAAATGGAAGGCGGAGGTGATGCAGTGAATCGGAAAGTTTTCCAGTCCTTTTCTGGACCAGACGTACTATTTAGTATGGTTGCACTCTCAAATCACAACCATTGGCGTTCATTTTTGGAAAATTCATACGAAAATTTTCTTGAAATAGCTTTGGATTCGCACGCATAAATTCAGTTAAAATTAATTGAATTAAATTATTTGAATGAAAGCACTAACCGCAGTTTTTCGATGAATTGACGGTTTAGAGTGATAGTGATTAACATTTATTGCGCTTTTGCCACATCGTTTCGATGAGAAAAAACATCAATGAGTTTTGGCATCTCACTAAATTTAATTTTGCGAATTTTATTTTTTATGATAATCCAACGCACAAATTTTTAACCATTGTTATGACGTTATAGTTTCAAATTCGGCCAATGGGAGTCATTAAAAAAATTTTCAGCGACAAAACATGGTCGTGTCAAGAAACATTTTTCAGCAAAAAAAATTATGACAAATTACTTTGTAAACTCTTCAAATGAATTTAATTGATCAAGTACATAATTATTGCATTTTATTAACTCAAATATCAGTAGAATAATAATTATTAAAGGTACAATTTATTGTTATAAATAATTTCGCATCGATTTTCCTTTTTCTTGAAATTTTTGCTGTTTTCAGACTCTACGGTTTCACCGTCTTTTCTCATGTTGCCTATGATTTTGTTATGATGAGAACTATCCAGCTGTAGGTATGGCCGAATGGATCCTGCCGACGCGTGTCCTACGATTTTTATTGGCCGTACCAGCTTTTGCAAGCTGACTTACAGCAGTTGGTCGTGCAGAGTGATTAGTACTGATTAGTAGATGGTGGATTTCTATCGGGCTATGTCACGATTATAGGTGGGAACGCGTGAATCGCCGGGAATCAGTAGCGGATGATAATCAGTGAATTTAATCGTCACTTATTCCGTAAATACAATTAACCAAAACTTAATTAGTAAAATGGTTAAATAATTAACAGCAGAGTGCAGCGAAACAGTAAACGAAGTGCAGCCCGTAACTACACTGAATTCCCATCCCGCACGAGCCGTACCTCAGCTCGACGGATATCCGCTGTCTTAGTAATTTTTTCCTGCCTTCTCGGCACTGGTGTTCATCCATTTACTGGTTTCGGTCAGACCAAATGGTGAATTTTTAAACCAATAAGACGAGTTCTTCCGAGATGGATTTTCTGTTAAAAACAAATATTTATTTTAATATTAGTTCTTTTTTATAACATCTTCTCCAAAAGTCTAAAAGCGATGATTATAAGAAAATAAAATACGTACATATTCTGTTGTACTTATACCTAACAGGACACAAGTCTGTGCTTTCTTTATTTGGTACTTACCATTTGCTTTTGCCTTAGACTTGGACGACCTTGCTTGGTTTTGGAAAAAATAGGGTTATATTTGCATCATCTTGTTACGTTCCTAAGATTATCCACTTCAAGCTTAAAATATTGGGTAAGACACTGCACACTAGAGAGCGGATTTTATGAAATTTGCGACTCTGTATCAAAAGAGCGCCGAGTCAAAATAGCGTTCGACAAAACAGCGCAATACGAAAGAGCGCCTGTACAAATGA